TTCCCTCCCCAACCTCTGCTGCGCTTGGCTGGGCTGAGCAGGGGACAGTTTCTCAGTCACTTTGTCGGGACACAGGTGAAAAGTCATAGGGCCTGCATGCTTCCCCTCCCCCACTCCCGCTTCTCTACGTGCCAGTTGGCTGTTTCCCAGGAGAACAACAGCAGGAAGTTGGTGAGAAGGCAGAGGATGGTCTGGCCATCTGGCCAACTCCCTTTTGTAATCAGAAAGCTACTGAAGGGCTAGGACCACAGGTAAGGGGACGAGAAGGCTCCCAGCTCATCCTGGGTGAGCCTCGGCCTTCTCTGGGCCTCAGTTCACCCATTTGTGCCAAGGCAATAAGAATTCGTGCCCTGCTTATGGGCAGGGAGGCTGTGGTGAATTCATTGCAGGAAAGCACTTATTGTCAGTCTCTAAGCGTAGTTATCTCTGCGATCAGCCCACAGGCCTCAGGGCGTGCAGTTCCCCAGAGCCTTGTAAGGTAAAGCCGGGGAGGCGTGGTCCGGGCAGAAACCATCCCTGTTTGTGTTGGTGTGTGTTCCTGAGTGCGTGGGGAGAGGTATGGGAGAGTGGGGATGGGCACTGGGAACACAGAGAATGACTTCTGCATTATTGAGCATTAACTGAGCACCTACTATGGGTTAGTGTGGAGCTCTGAGTTTCAATAAGGCACTGCTTTTGTCCTACAGGAGACCCCAGCCTCACAAAAGATAGATGTGTTCACAGTCCACCACAACACAAGACCTCACTCCCCCATTGGGCTGGACTGTCCTGGCCTTGTGCTTCATTAGGTGACTTGAGTGGTCCCCGTGTGTGGAGAGCTCACAGATGGCTTCTACCCACATCAGGCAAGCTTAATGGTTCCCTAGCAGGAAGCTCAGGGCCCTCATTCCTCTGTCAGAATCAGTTACCTCCGGGTGCCAGGTGAGGTGCTAGACGATGCTGGGGGCTCAGGGACACATTGGAGTTCTGGGCCCTGAGGCGCCACCACCACCTCCAGCATGAAGGGGAAGAGGAACATGCAGTGACCATGTGGGTGGAAGGTTCCCTTGATCCAGCTGGGATGAGCCCCAGACACTCTCTCTTGCCCCCACGATGCCCCCTTCCTCTAGGTCCCCTCAGCCTGCTGCCCTGAACCAGGCCCTTCCTGATCCTGGCCCCCCTGCCCTGCTTTCGCCTCCCTCCTGTTTCCAGAGATACCTTCCTAAAAGGTCCGTGGAGACCTCAAAATGGAACCTCGTGCCCTGGCTCATCCCGGTGCCTCTGTGCACAGGCCGAGGGCTCGGTGATGTTTGAGGCAGAAATTTCCGGCCCTTTCACTCCAGCCCCTCCCCTACTCCCTCGGTCTCTGGTCAGACTGGATTCCTCTCATTCCTGGAAAAGCTGCATTTCCCCACATTGGGGTACCTGTGCCCTTGAAGCTCCCTCTCTCAGACGCCTTCCTCCACGCAGTTTTGCTGCCTTGCATAACTCCGGGGGGACCCATTCGTGAAGATCTGGGTCATCAGTGCCCTCTGGGGTATAACCCAAGAATGCGGTGCCCCTTCCCTGTCAGGGCCCCTCCTCAGCACCCCACCTCCACCCTGGTTTGAGTTTTCTCTCCTCTTGAAGTCTCATGGGACTCTGCACCCATTCTAGCTTTATCTGACACCTGTTCTGTGTGTCTTCACAGAGTAAACACCCATTTGCTGGGCTGATGCCCCCAGGGTCTGGCCCATGGCATACTCTTGGTGACCTCCCCAACCCAGTCTGGCCAAGCAGTTCAGCCCTGGCAGTAATGAAGCACTGGCTGAAATTTTCATGGCTGGGGACAGGCGTCTTTCTCTTTGGCTGAAAGGGCATCACTTCCAAGGCCCCCTGCTCTGGCAGGGCTAGGAAGCTGGTGGTTTGGTGAGAGCTGGGGAGCGTGGGTGACGGACCCAGGAGTCCTGTCTCCTAGCTTTTTGTTCTCCCAAACCAGACCTCATCAGGCCAGCGCCGAGACTACTGTTGAGGCAGATGCGTGGTCAACGAGAATCAGCAGTGGTGATCAGGCCAGTGATGGAGGTGATGCGGATGCAGCGACAGTAATCAAAGTGTGGCCACTCTGCTTTCCCAGGGTTTCGCCCTCACCTTCAACCTTCCCGAAGGTCCCCACCCTTGCCCGCCTAACCAGGCCTGAAATGAGGGGTTTCATGGGTGTGGGGGCCCTTGTCTTCACATCCAGAGCCTGGCCAAACCTGGTTGCCCCCCTGACCTGGCCACTTCCAGGTGCTCCTGAGCTGTGACTCAGAGTCTGACCTCAGCATGGGCCCAGCTGCCAGGAGAGGCAACCGGGAGAGGGCAGTTTCTTATGAGATTGTGACTCAGGGGCCCAGGGCTGGGGACTTAAAGTGCCTTTGTTGGCCTGGTCTCAGGAATCCAGAGAAACTGGTTGAGGGAAAGGCCTCAGGGATGAAACGCCTCCCTCTATCCACCCTCCACCCCGCCCCTCCACAGAGCCATATAACCGCCCCCAAGCTCTAGCTGTGAGCCTGTGGCAGCTGTTGGCAGGGAGGAACCAGTCTGGTCACACTCCCTGGGCCTGTGCTTCAGATTCCTGTGAGAGACGCTCAACTGGCTGTGCCTTCGGATTTGCAGTGAAAGGCTTCCCTGTGGACAGTGTCCATTCTCAGCACTTGGATTTCTACAGCCCCCAGGGCCAGATCCTTAAAGACTTCCAGGTCCTAGACCCCAGCAGACCCTGAAAGATGGCCTCCATGGGGCTACAGGTGATGGGCATTGCGCTGGCCGTGCTGGGCTGGCTGGGCGCCATACTGAGCTGTGCGCTGCCCATGTGGCGGGTGACAGCGTTCATCGGCAGCAACATCGTCACGTCGCAGACCATCTGGGAGGGCCTGTGGATGAACTGCGTGGTGCAGAGCACCGGCCAGATGCAGTGCAAGGTGTACGACTCCATGCTGGCGCTGCCGCAGGACCTGCAGGCGGCACGAGCCCTCATTGTCGTCTGCATCATCCTGGCTGTGCTGGGCGTGCTGCTGTCTGTTGTGGGTGGCAAGTGCACCAACTGCGTGGAGGATGAGAGCACCAAAGCCAAGATCATGATTGTGGCAGGCGTGGTTTTCCTCCTGGCCGGCTTGCTGGTGATGGTACCCGTGTCCTGGACGGCCAACACCATCATCCGTGATTTCTACAATCCTCTGGTGGCCTCCGGGCAGAAGCGGGAGATGGGGGCCTCACTCTACATCGGCTGGGCGGCTGCAGGTCTGCTGATGCTCGGTGGGGCTCTTCTCTGCTGCAACTGCCCACCTCGTGCTGACAAGCCCTACTCGGCCAAGTACTCTGCCGCCCGTTCCGCCCCCGCCAGCAACTACGTGTAAGGTGCCGCCACTCAACTCCCTGTTGGCGCTGTTTCTCCCTGGAGTGAGCTCGGTGCAGTCTGTGAACCCAGGAGGGCTCTGCCGTGGTCTGCAGGCTGCTGGGGGATGGGCAGGCAGGGACTGAGACCGGCCATTGGCCAGCAGCCCTCAGCCCCTTCTGACCCCCTTGGACACCTTCCTGAGGCCTCCTCTACAATAGCAAGGATGGACTGAAAGATTTCTGAGCCACCCTCCTCTGAGTGGCCTGTGGATGCTGGGGAGGAGCAGGCAGCAACAGGGCATGGCAGTGGAGTGGGGAGCTGGCTCTTGCAGGACAGCTCAGCCCTGACTGCTTCGATTCTGAGCGTGTGCCCTGCCCATGCTTGCGTTGGTCACCGTTCCCTTCTTTGATCTTCCCCCCGCCTCCGAGTGCATCCACGGGAAACCCGTGGCCGTGAAAATGGCTGGGGCCTCACTCATCTACCTGCCTGTGGAGCAGAGTTGACTGACGGGTTTAGAAGGGAGGGGTGAAGGCGCTGAGAACTGGTTTGGGTAGCAGTGGGGGAGGGGGCCTGGAGGAGGCCCCGGCTGCTGGGACTCCTTCCCGCCCGCCCTGCGGCCTCAGCAGGAGGACCCTGAGCTCCCCCCCCCCCCCCAAATCGGTTCCCTCCGATGGTACCTGCCATTCTTATGAAGGTCATCAGTTAGTCTGGCGAAGGCAGGGGGAATGATCTTTCTCTGGCCTGCATCCTAGTAAGTTCTGGAGCTTCTTCTTGACTCTGTGGTTTGTTTTGTAATTTAAGACCTATTTGTCACAGCAATGACTATTATTTTCTACAATAAATGAGACCTGTGCACAGGAAGACTCTGTATGTTTCTGATTTCAGCTGTGGTGGTGGGTGGGGGGAGGGCTGGAGGGGGCCAGTGAGGGGCAGGACCACTGTGTCGGGCCTGGATGGGAACACTTTAAAAACACGTCTCATGAAAAATTGGAAGTGGCTTGACTTTGGAAATCACGTTGTTCAAATTCTCCATTTGTCAGAGGGTGAAATCCCTACACAGGCAAACATGTGCCCAGAACTCTGGTGAAGTGCTGGGGACTCCAAGAGAGGGGACAGGTGAGAACATCCAGCCCTGGGAAATGGGCCACCTGTCACTCTCCCTGTTTGTCCCAGCTTTGTCTGGGCAGCCAGGCTGGTCTGCTCACCCTCCAGCCCCACCTCCTGGCCTTTGCTCAGGCTGTCCCTGCCCTTGGCCTGGAATGTCTCTTTTCCTTTCTCCACCCCCTGAACCCTGCTTATCCTGAAGGCCCAGCTCCGGGCATCCTCCCCCGTGAGGCCTGCCCACCTGCTCAGGGCAGCCTCCGAGCCTCACTCTGAGTTCCAGTCTCTTTGGAGGTGAAGAAACCAAGTCCTGGACACGTGAAAGTGTTTGACCAAGCCCAGATACGAGCCCAGATACGGGGGTGGGGGTTTCCTGTCAGGTGAGTTAGGGATAAGGAAGCCCATCACTCCGGGAGAGTCAGAATCCCATCTGTGGCCCTGAGGCATCTGGGTCAGACCTGGGGTGGGGACCTTTCTATCCAGTTTCTTCTCATTTCTGCCCTCCACAGGTCACAGGTACAATGTCACTTTTTCTTGGGGTGAGAGAACTGCAGAGTCAAAATGCTGTTGCCCCTCCTGGGGCTCATTTAATAGGCAGAGCTCTCCCGAGGAGAGGGCTGGTACAGTGGCCCCATTTTACAGACGAAGGCCCAAGAGCAGGCCCGACCCAGGTAACCGGGAGGGTCAGAGGCCAGCTAGGGGCTGAGCACTGGGCCTCACTCCCTCAACCTGGGTCGCCTTCTGCTTTCGGTACAAGTAGACAATGCCAGGGATGTAGCCATCAGTGTCAGAAGTGCTAGGCACCTCCTCAAGCTTGGAGGTAGCCAGTTCCCACCGGTCTACAGTCCAGGCCACCAGGCGTTTGCACTGCCTGGCCTGTTCGAGCCTGTCCAGGGTGACCTCCAGTGCCTCCTTGTAGCGAAGGTTGGATGGGTTGGCCCTGGTGGTCAGGCACACCAGCCCGCCTGGGGAGGGGTGGGAGAAACAGGTGAGTGGGGGAGGGGCAGGAGCCGAGGTTTCAAGTTAACAGTTCCCTTTCCTTCCGGCTCCTGTCCTCAAGGACATCAGTTCTCCCAGCTTGTCCCCAGGCCAGCCTCCTGCTGTCTCCAAGCTGTTGGTACTCACCATCCCTACCCCCGTGAATACCCTCTGCTTCTCCAGCTTGAGTGCCTCCTACATCTGTTTTGGGGCCCAAGTATCCTTTATGCGGGAACTCTTTATTTCTCTTTCCCTGGCGGAGAGGGGGCTCCCTCCTCACCACTCACCCAGCCCCTCTGCTGGAGGATATGGCTGTGTCTGGATGCACAGGAAGGAAACACACAGCTTTGGACCTGCCCCTTCACTTCCATGCCTCTGTTTCCCGGCTTGCGGAGCGGGGTTGATTAATTACCCTGTCTCAGAAAGGCTGGTGCAGTCAGTAACCACGGCTGAATGAATGAATGAATTCATCCCTTCAGATCTTTTCCAGGCGCGTACAGTATGCCCAGTGCGGGCTCAGATACACCCAGGAGATACTGGTGTCTGAAAGGCTGCCTGGGAAGGGGCTGAAGAGAAGCAGGCCCGGCTGGTGGAGAGGGGCCCTGTGAGAGGAAGGGCTCGGAAGCAGGCAAGCCTGTGACGTGTGGGCCGGCAGGCACGGCTCTGGCCAGCTGCCAGGTCTGGTAAGTGCAGGCTGGGCCAAGAGGCCTGGTCTTTTCTGGTTCAGGCAGTGGGAGTTTCCTGTCCCGAGCCCAGTCACTAGCTCTTTCTCTGACCCCACCAACGTCCCTACATCTGTCAGCTTCCATGGTCCCAAGGCCTGCCCAGGCCTGCCCAGGCCCAACCGCAGCCCCTGCAGGGAGATATAATCATGCCGTGATAGGGGAACCTCCGCAGCTTCCTGCTCCTGTCCTGCTGCCAGGATCTGCACACTCCACTACTCTCCTTTCTGCCTGTGGCTTTGGCTGTGTCCCCGTGGGGACTGCCCTCATCCCCCACCCCAGCCCTGAGAAATGCCTCTCTCTGAGATGTGGGAGCACTGAGCACTCCCGGCCCTCCTGAGCCCACCTCGGCGAGGGCGGTGGGCCCTGGCGTGGAGGTAGCCCCAGTGTTTGGAAACTAGGGGCACGGTGGGTGGGTGACTGAGCCCAGAGGGCGGGGCGTGTACATTCTCCCCAGGGCAGAGGGAGGCACAGGGCAAGACACACGGTAGGAATGCAGTATCAACCCCACTTCGCAGATGAGGAAACAGAGACGGGAAAAGAGTGACTCACCTAAAAGCCACCCAAGAGTTAGTGAGGAAGCTAGAAGATGAGGGAACTGAATGGAGACCTTACTACACAGCAGGACTAAAGCAAAGTCCTCTGAGACATTATTTCACCCAATTCTCACAGCAACCCTGTCGGGAAGGGACTACACCACCCTGCTTACAGGTGGGATGGAGGCTGAAGAGGAGAGTGGAGTTGTTCCTGGTTGCCTAGTGAATAAGAGGCAAGGGGGCCACTTGCCCGGCCTGCCTGTTTGCCTGGGTCGGCAGCTGGTGGCTGGAATATTAGGCTAGGCTGTGAGGCCCTGGGCAGGACCACGCCCCTTGCTTGGCCTCAGAGATTCTGAGACCTGTGTCTTTGGGTGTGGAGAGGGAAGGTGTGTGTGGGCTGCTTCTCACCTGGCTTGGTAACTCGCAGGAGTTCAGGAACTGCACTGCAGGGCACCTGGCCGTCGCTGAGGGCACCCACCACCAGCACTGCATCGTAGGTCCCTGTGTGAGGCGAGCAGCTGTGGTGTGCTGGTTTGTCTTCAGTGCAGCCTCAGCCCATCCTGGGGGACAGTACCCAACCTCCGGGGGCTGGGGAGGGACCAGGTAAGCCGCTAGTGTCTGTAGGACCCAGATCCCATGGGGAACATGGCAGGTGTAGCCCAGTCCTGGGCTAAAGTCAGATCATGGGATGGAGGGCTCAGAGAGAGGGCTTCACGGGGCCTCGAAGAGGTTCTTAGTGAGGCACTGGGGGCTCAGAGGTGAATGAAGGCTCAGGGTGGAAGGGGGCTTATGGAGCACTCAGCAAGGGGGATGGAAGCTGGGTAACAGAAAGAGCCATCAAGGCAGGCTTGGTCAGAGAGTGGGCCTTGGGGTGTTGGGGTAGAAGGGGACAAACCTTCGGGGCTGGGCAGAGGCTCCTGGCCCAGCGTACAGAGGCTGAGGCGCTGGTAGAGGCCACGGGCCTGGGCCTGTTTCAGCATCTCTGGGCTCCCATCTACCCCATGCAGCTGGAGGAAGCCCCGAGCCTGCAGCTGGGATGGGAGGACTGTCACAGTTCACACCTGCTGCATCCCAGCTGGCTCCCCACACCTCAAGAAGGGCAGTGGGCCCTGCAGTGGATGTTGCTCAGGTGTTTGGGAAACGGTGAGTCTTAGGCCTGGAGTGGCAAGAAATTTGAGCACCTGGGGGGCTTAAGAGAGAGCAAAGGATCTGGGCAGACCTCACCTCGACAGCCACCAGGCCAGTGCCACAGGCCACGTCCAGGATCAATGCGGCGTGGGGTGGGCCTGGAAAGACTTGGCTGAGGCAGTCCACTGCAAGGCGGGGGGCGCGGTACTGCAGGCTGGCCACATCCTGGAACAGAGTGCTGAGCTGACTACCAACCTGTGCCCTAGTGTTTGAGGGACCTCAGTGAAGGGTGGTCTAGGAGTCAGCCAGGCCAACCCGTTAGTGTGTGTGTGTGTGTGGGGGGGGCAGGACAGGAGAGTCAGTCCCCAGCCCACTGCTGAGACCTGCTCTGCTGGCCGAGGCAGTGCTGTGTTTACTCCATAGTGACCTTCCATGGCACCTCCTTCCTGCAGGCAGTTCTGCCTGAGCTGCAGTCCCAGAGTGGGGACGGAGGTCTTGGCCCCTGACCTCCTGACTGTGCAGTGTGAGGCTGCTCAGATAGCAAGGCTGCTCTGTCCGAAAAAGGGGGCAGGACTGAAAGGTTGTGTCTGGGTCTCACTTCATTCTCACTAGCTGTCCTGGGATGCAAGGATGTCTATTCCTGCTGTACACATAGGAAAACTGAGACTGGGCACGCAAGGGAGGTGGAGGACCCCCGGCGGGTTTACCTTGTCATAGTTCGGAGCCCAGCGTTCATAGAAGTGCAGCGTGTGGGCCAGGTCCGTGATGCGGTGCATGGACCCGACCCGCGCCCAAGCCTCGCACAGGCTTCCGCCCTTCTCCTGAGCCATCCTCCTGCTGGGACACAGCCTCAGTGTCCTGACATCCATCTCAATCTCCTCCCCCAACCTGCCCACCCGCCATGCCCAGTAGCGGCCCTCCAGGCCACCAGCACAATCCCGTTTCACAGGCGGGTACTCTGAGCAAAGAGACTGGGCACCTGGGGTTTAGGGCTGGAGAAGGGGTGTTCTCGTGGCTGGAGGGAGGGCCTGCCCCGACCTCCCCACCTCCGGCCACCGTGAGAGGGTTTCCAAGGCGGAAATTTCTCCTCGGCGGTAGGAGTAATCACGGTGGGGCGGGGGATCAGAACTCACAGACAGTCCGAATCCCGGGAACTCCCGGGAGGAAGGAGCGGTGACCCTGGCGGAGCCCCCACCGCCTTCGACGATTGGCTTTCGCCTAAGAAAAACTACCCAATTAAAAAAAGCGCCGACGGTCCGCCCATCCACCACCAGCCAATGAGCTCAAAGTTTTGGTCTTCGTCCCGCCTGGGAACATCCGTTTGACAGATTTTCTTGGTAGTGGAGTATGCGGCTTTACGAGTTTCTCATCCCTCGTGGCTCCCCGTATTCTTTATGCTTCTTAAAAAACATGAGCTGTAATGCAATGGGAGCCTCTGGATTCTTAGGGACAAGAGAGCGAACTCGGGTCGCCTTTATTTTTAGAACACCCACGAAAGTCTAGGCAACACTAGACCTCCGTAGGGCTTTTTGCAGTGATAAAAAAGTTCTATAATGTGTGCTGCTCCGAATGTTAACCACTAGTCACACGTGGCTTGAGCATTTGAAATGTGGTTAGTACTACTGAGGAAATGAGTTTCAGATTTTATTAAATAGCCATCTGTGGCTAATGGCTGATGATGGCCTGGGAGTCCTAGTACTTAGCGAGTGGTCCGGTGGTCGTCAGGCTTGCAGCATCTGACTGGCGTGTTTAGCTAGGATTGCCCCCAGGGAGGTTGTTAGGGGAGCTTGTTAGAAATGGAAATTCTTTAAAAAATATATTTTATTTCATTATTTATTTATACACAAAGGGGAAGTTTGGGAGAAAGAGAGGGAGAGAAATATCAATGTGTGATTGCCTCTCGCGTGCCCCCTACTGGGGACCTGGTCTACAACCCAGGCATGTGCCTTGTGACTGGGAATCGAACCTGTGACCCTTTGGTTCTCAGGCTAGCACTCAATCTACTGAGCCACACCAGCCAGGGCCAAGAAATGGAAATTCTTGAGCCTCACCCCAGTTCTACTGAATCAGAATCTGATTCCTGAAGTGTGGTAGTGGGCTGGGGCCTAGAAATCAGTGTCTTAACAAATTTTCAAGTGATTTCTATGCAGCTAAAGTTTCAGAAGCACTAGCCTTTGATTCCTTATATGGAACCGGAGTTTAGGCAGACAGGTTGCAACTGTCCAGGCAGGAGATGTTAACCTAAAAATAAAAGGCCAAAGTGAGAAGCAACAAGTGTTGATCGGAGATTTTTTTTAAAAAAGCTATTTTGGGGAAGAAGCACTAATTCAGGAAGAAGCCCAAATAGTGTTCTGATTAAGAAGTGAAGGCAAAGGGTATTAATGAGAAAGGTTAAGGGGAATAATTACATGAACAGAAGGAAGGAATTTCTTTGGGTGTTGATAAGCTAAGGAAAAAAATTCTACAGGTACAAGTAAGTTAATTCAGTGATGCTAACCCTAAAGAATCTCTGTAATTTTCAGTCTGGTTCTCATAATGTCTGTTAGCTTTGCAAACAGTTGTTTGGAATGCAATGCTGCTTTAGGTTCAGTACAAAGGTTATTTTGTCCAATTTTAACATTCCAAAGCTTTGAGAAGTAAGACGTGCAAGGCAGTTTCTTTGGAACAGCAGCTTCCTCCATTGTGAAGTGGCTCCATTTACAGTCTTCTCCCACACAACAACATTTCTGTCAATGATGGACCACATAAACTACTGAGGTTTGCTGGGTAGCCGAGGAAAGGGGCCACGTGTGAGACCTGGCTAGCACAGGGGAGGCCTGCGAACCCAGGGACAAAAAGTAACCACCGTGGGATGGTCGCAAATGAAAACTTTCTAACTAAAAACAGTTCGTGGCAGGTTCTAGTCCTGTCCCAGGCTGGTGTTTTTCCCTAACAAAGGTCAGTCTTCAGCTTAACTGAGCCTGTTGGTTTTTTTGCATCTATGATAACGTACCTTCAGAACAGAATATCAAATTTCCTTGTTCCTCCAGACCCCTAAGAGCACAGGCACCACACCAGGGAGAGACCACAAATCCCTTCATTGTTATTGTTATCATGTTCATTGTTGACCATTAACTCTCCTGTACCCACCAATGTAAAAGATGTGTCTATCGTTTACTTTTTATCCAATCCTAGAGGTTTCCTCACTTCGCTTCCTCCCACCTCCCTAATCTGTCACCAATGGATTTCAGGTGATCCACTTACACCTCCTCTTTTGATTGTAATATATAAAATCAGGTGTGAAACTGTCATTTTTCTGGAGCATTTCTTAATCTGTTGAGATTTTTCTTCCTGGCAATTGTCAGTTTGGTTCAAATAAACTCATCAAAAATTCCGCACAGGTTTGAATGTTTTTTACGTTGACAGTACACAGTAGGCTATACTATATAGGTTTGTGTAAGTGCACTCTGTAATGTTCACACAATGACAAAAGTGCCTAAGGACATATTTCCCAGAACATATCTCTGTCATTAGGTGTCACAGGACTGTATATATTTTTCACAGTTGCATGAACTTGGGTAGAGATCATGGCCATGGGGAGAAGGGGATGAAGTTCAGAGCAGGTTAGGAGGTAGAAGTAGCAGGGCTCTGATGATTGAGAGTGTGTGGCATGGGAAAACCACATGTCAAGAGTGGCACCAGGTTTCTGCTTGATCCATTGTGTAGTAGGCAGTTAGACATGAGCAGAGCAAGGATGAGAGGCCAGGTCCAGGAGGTCACCCAGGGCAGAAAGCCTGGGTGTCTATTCCATCAGTGAGCAATTGGAAGATGAGACCTTACCCCTACCCACCCCTTTCCTCCCCCAGCATATCACTGGTCATGCAGTTTAGACAGCCCCCCCCCCCAACATTTCCTCCATAGAGATAACATCCAGGCTTCAGTTGTATTTCAGCTTCAGACCCAGAAAAGCAGCAAAACCAGGCAGATGACTCTATGCCCTGGTGCCGACCAATCAGAGAGAGATCTGATCAGATCAGTGGGGAGAAATAGGGAGGGGCTGTAGGAGGAGGTTGCCGGAGGTAGTGGTAAACAATCTAGGATGGGATTGGTCAAGAAGCTGAATACCTCCAGAGTACACAGAATTATGGGCCAGAAGATCTGAAATAAAGGAAGGCCTCTTGGGCTCTCTGGGTCTCTTCCTTGAGGATGCCTGGAAGATCTCGCTGCAGCTGCCTGCATTTCCCAGTGGATGGTATTTTGAACAGGAAGGAACTCTGGGTGTAGCCTAGGATTGGGCTGGCCTGGCAGAGGGTGGCAGGGTTATTATTCTCTGGGTGTTCTGCAGAGAACAAGCTCTGAGACAGAAACCTGCCATTCTTCCAAAATTGCGTAGCTGTTGTACCTTCTGTTCTTTTACTTGGTAAACTAATCCTATAGAAATAAGATAATTAAAAACTAACAATGGGCCTTGGCTGGTGTGGCTCAGTGGATTGAGTGCTAGCCTATGACACAAAATGTCATCGATTAGATTCCTAGTCAGGGCACTTGCCTGGTTGCAGGCCAGGTCCCCAGTTGGGGGTGTGCAAGAGGCAACCGATCCAAATGTCTCTCGCACATTGATGTTTTACTCCCTCTTTCTCTCTCCCTTTTCCTCCCTCTAAGAATAAATAAAATCTTAAAAAAAAAAACTAACAAGGGGAATGATAGAAAACTAAGCTGTTAAAGAGTTTAGCCTTAATTAATAGGTTTAAGTGACTAATGCATGAGGAATGTCGTTATTCCAAAATCATGAAGCTTTTGAATAAAGACTCCTTTCCTCTATCAACAAACTTTGCCTCTGGAATTTTGCCTAGGGTGTGGTGGTGGGCCGCAGGACCCCACTTGCTATTTAGTAATAAGACCACAGCCCTGAAAGGGCACATCTGGAAAAGATGATCAATATTCTAGGACTTCCAGCCAAGATGGAGGTGTACGTAGATACACTTTGCTTCCTTGCACAACCAAAAAAAGAACAACAACAATTTAAAGACAAAAAGCAACCAGAGCTTCCAGAAAATTGAACTGTATAGAAGTCTGACAACCAAGTAGTTAAAGAAGAAACATTCATCCAGACTGGTGCACCGAGACAAAGAAATATGGCCCAAATAAAAGAACAGATCAAAACTCCAGAATAAGAACTAAGTGATAAGAATATAGCCAACTTATCAGATGCAGAGTTCAAAACACTGGTAATCAGGATGTTCACAGAAATGGTCGAGTATGGTTACAAAATAGGGGAAGAAGTGAAGGCTATGCAAAGTGAAATAAAGAAAAATATACACGGAACCAACAGTGAAGGGGAGAAAACTGGGACTCAAATCAACAATTTGGAACAAAAGAAAGAAATAAACATTCAACCAGAACAGAATGAAGACACAAAAATTTTTTAAAAGTTAGGAGAGGCTTAGGACAAGTTTAAATGTACCAACATCTGAATCATAGGGGTGCCAGAATGAGAAGAGGAAGAGCAAGAAATTGAAAACATAATGAAGGAGAACTTACCCAATCTGGCAAAGGAAATAGGCTTCCAGGAAGTCCAGGAAACTCAGAGTCCCAAAGAAGTTGGACCCAAGGAAGCATACACCAAGGTACATCATAATTACATTACCCAAGATTAAAGATAAGGAGAGAATCTTAAAAGTAGCAAGAGAAAAGGAGACAATTACCTAGAAAGGAGTTCCCATAAGACTATCAGCTGATTTCTCACAAGAAACCTTGCAGGCAAGAGGGGTTGGAAAGAAGTATTTGAAGTCTTGAAAGTCAAGGACCTCCATTGAAGATTATTCTATCCAGCAAAGCTACCATTTAGAATGGAAGGGAAGATAAAGTGGTTCCCAGATAAGGTCAAGTTAAAGGAGTTCATCATCACCAAGCCCTTATTACATGAAATGTTAAAAGGGCTTATTTAAGAAAAAGATAATCAGACTTCCGGCCAAGATGGAGGCGTAGGTGGAAATACTGTACCTCCTCACACAACCAAATTTAAGGACAACAAAGATTTAGAAACAAAAACACCACCAGAACAGACAGAAAATTGAACTCTATCAAAGTCCAACAGCAATGAACCATTCATCCAGACGTGTAAGAGGGGCGAAGTTGGTGGCTGGCA